GGCTATACTGGTAAAACAATAGACATTGCTACTGCGTTGACAAAATGATACATAAAAAGAGTTTCACAAACAGTGGTGATGTGTTTACATGCCTTGAACGATTACAATATATTCAGTGAATTTAAGCCATATATACGGACAATAATGTGATTGAATACATCAGTATTTGGTTTTTTATATGTTTAAACTCTTTTAGGCATTTTAAAAAAGTTCTTTTGTTTGGCAGTGTTTTTTCAGACCATTAAACGTTTAAAGACCACGAAGTCTTTAATTTATAATCTAAAATTTTTACACAATGTGCTAAACCTTTTTTCGTATTTTGGCTATTTCACATCATTATTTTCTATCAGTTTTCAAAAGTCACCCTGAGCCAACTGTCTTTTACACCATAATTCTCTTTTTATATGGTAAAATTGTAAGATATTCAGTTCCCTCTCCTCTTTGAAATCTAATAGAAGTCTTCTTTTTTGAGGTTGCATGACGAGTTTCTCACGCTGCTTCTACAGAGAGAACCAATCAAATCAATGGAAAAGTGCGCTGGAAATTTCCCTATTAGAACTTTTATCGGTTCCAACATGAAGCCATAAAGATATTTTTGTGTGTTCCTCATATATTAAATATAATACATTTTTAAAAGTCTTTTGACTTGTGCCTTGATATAGAAAGAGATATTTTCTCGGGAATTATCGCTCTTCACGGACAAAAAATCCAATGTCCAGCATTAAAATAAGTAACTGTGATTTTAATGTGCATATTCAGTTACTATATCGCTTCTTTAAAGTAGAACCGCTGTGCAGAGGGGGGCTGAAGTACGTTAAATTTGACGGGGATTTAACGTACTTCAGGGAGGATCACGAGATTGACGAGGATCACGTTGCTAAGAAGTGGAATTTGGAGAGTGCCGTGACAATTCTCATGTCGTCCTCATCACTTGATTGCAATTCAGATTTACGTGATAAATCACCAATACCCCACGTGTTACTTTTTAATGCGAAATAACGAAGAAATCAGTCGACTAACTACTAAAACATTTTATTAAGAAGAGTTGGAATACAGACAATGTTAAATTGAGCATTTTTATGTACCTTTTTCTCAGAAACTGTTAAATGTGTAGACTTCAAATTTTGCCTATATATTAAATGTACTTTTATGTTTGTACTCGTATGAGACTCTTATGTTTGTACTGAAGAGAGACTCTTATGTTTGTACTGAAGTGAGATTTTTATGTTTGTACTGAAGTGAGACTTTTATGTTTGTACTGAAGTGAGATTTTTATGTTTGTACTGAAGTTAGACCTTTATATTCAAACTTCAAATTTTGTCTGTATATTAAATAGACTTTCATATTTATACTGAAGTGATATTTTTTAAACATAATTCATAGTGTTTTTCAAAAATAAATTTATACTGAACATCACTATGAATTTTTTTAAATTGTCATTTTTTGTTACGAGAGAGATGTCTGATATCTAGCCAAATATTTTGATAATATCTAAAAACCCTCACTTCAGTACACACAATTGCATATCAGTAATTTGTAATAAAAATTGCAGATGTATTCATTCAATATATTCTGAGAAAAGGGTGCACGCAGTTTTAAAAACATCATTTTGAGAAAATTGAAATTTTAGTATAAAATGTCACTTCATCACAAAAATTATGAATGAAAATCTGTACTTGCCCTATTTTCGTTAAACATTGGTTTTAATACTTTTTGTTTTTTATTTTACTTTAATTGCCCAGAAAATACATACGTAACATTTTTCAGTTTTTGTCTACCGAGATATTTTGTAGTATGTACATCATTTTCCCCAAATTCTGTATCAAACTTTGTAGAACTTTCAGCTTTGATGTATAATCCGTATGAAACTTGACTATAAAACATCATAAATATATTATAAAAATGTATCAATATGGCTTTGGTATGCATTTGGGAATACACGATTATATATATATATATAATATATATATATATATATATATATATATATATATATATACAACATTTTGAAAGGTTTTTTTAGGGTTTTGTATGTTCACATGCAAACACAATTTTTAAAAGTATCATAATTCAAACCTATCACTAAACTGGATAAATGATTTCTAAAACAACCAAAAGAAAACTATTTTTATGTTCTTAAACATGATTTTTTTACGTATGTAAAAAGCTTCTTGCAACGACAAAGAACATTATACAGTTGATGTATGTTTATGAACTTTTTATTCAGAAACTTTTAAATCCTAAAGCTTAAAAATTTGTCTGTATAATAAATAGATATTTATATTTAGACTGAAGTGATATTTTTCAAATATATTGTTCAGTTTTTTCCCCAAAAAGTCTTTTTCTGAACATCACTATAAATTCATTGAACATTGTCTCTTTAGGTTACGATACTTACTTTATAGCAAATGTTTTGGTAATATTGCAAAAAGCTCACTTCAAGACGTATAATTCAAAATCAGTAATATTCAGTAAAAATTGCAGGTGTATGCATACGGTAGATTCTGAGAAAAAGATACATACAGTTTTATAAACATTTGTAAAAATTGCAACTTAAGTATAAGGTGTCACTTCCTCGCAAAAATTATGAAAATTATGAACTTACGAACCAGTATTCGCCCTGTTTTCTCATTTTTTAAAGACTTTTTCTTTCCCTTTTTACTTAAATTGTCCAGAAAATTCATACATAGCTTTTTTTCCTTTTTCACTTATATCGTTTGATAATATACATGATTTTACTCAAATTCTGTATTAATTTTTAAGAAATTTTTAACTTGGATGCATTTTTTTCATAAAATTTGACCATAATGCATCATAAATACCAGGTAAAAATTTATCAATATGTGAAATTATTGATTTGTGTGTGGAAATATATATGATAACACATTTCGAAAGATTTCATTGTGTGTGTATTTCTATGTTCACATTCTGTTTCCTAAAGTATCAGGATTGAAAGGTTCCTACATTAGACAAGAGATTTCTAAAATAGCCCCAAGAAGACTTTTTTGTGTTTTCTTTTTAAATCTAAAATTTATTTATTTTTATGTATGTAACAAAGCTCCTTGCAATGACAATGGTAAGATGTCTTTTGTAACTTTTTCTCAGAAACTATTAAACATAAAGACTCAAGATTTTGTCTGTATATTAAATAAATTTTGTCTGTATATTAATAGAAATTTATCTTTATCCCTAAGTAAAATTTTTTTTAAAAAATTGTTCAGTTTTTTTTCTTTCTTTTTTTTTTTTTTTTTTCAAAAGATTAATTTTTTTTAAGCATTTATTTTTGCAAACAAAATTAATTAACAAATTTCTTGCAACGACAACTAACATTGCATTTGATTTGCCTTTTTTTCAGAAACTATTAAACATAAAGGTTCAAAGTTTTGTCTGTATATTAATTAGACATTTATATTTATATTGAAGTGAATTTTTTTAAATATATCAATTAGTTTTTTTAAAGACAAAATTTTGCTGAGAATCCCTATGAATTTATTGAAAATTATCATTTTTTTGTTACGATATCTGCTTTCAAGCTAAATGTTTTAAGAATATTTCAAGAATGTCACTTCAGTATATATAATTATATGTAAAGGATATAGAGTATACACATGCATACATTAAATTTACACACAATTTTAAAATCATAAATTTTAGAAAAAAGTAATTTTTACACAAAATCTTACCTCATCGAAAAAAAAGAGAAAAAAAGGCACTTTTATTTATTATGCAAACTAATGAAGGTTGGAAGATTCTTGGTTCCCCTTCAATTACCATTGACTTACTAGATATGAAATTCCTTTTACTATTATTTTGATGAAAAGTCTGGGCTTTACACATTCGAAGGTATTTTAGCATCTATCACCTGTCCAGTATCTATGTTGGTTGCAATAAGTGCAGAGACATTTAATCTCATTACTTCCATGTCTCGTCTACAAGCGAACATTTTTATTAGTTTCATTTACGCAAATGGTGCTTCCTTACATTGTGAATTTGAAATGAGTCCTTACAAACAAGTTTTGCAGTATTTAAAACAATAAGCCCATCTTCTAAGCGAATGGATAAAATTTCAAAGGAAATACATCACAAAGCACTCGACCTTGTATTAAATTTTACATCATTAAAAGAACAATATTTTCATAAAATTTACAAACATTGCTCTAAAAGTAGGAAAACAAACTAACAGTTAAACTTGCAAATATTATAAAGTTAATCACCAGATGTGTTAATTGTGTATGAATAAATAAAACGGTGAAGCTGAAAACTGCTTCCCAGGCTTAAAAGGTCACTGTTTATACTTTTATCTGTCAAAGGGGGCTTGGCATATCAGCTGATTATTTTTTAAAAGTCTTTTTGACATATTTGCCATTTTGTGTAAAAGAAGTATGTAATATCACTGAAAAGGTCCTGACTTGGAGATTTTAGAAACATCAAGCTCAAAATGGATATTTTCAAGATGCTTAGCCTACTGACTTACCTTAATTCATCCAATAAATACACTTTTCTTACTGATTATTATCACATAGGTATACAAAACATTTAATTCATAACAGTTGATAAATTTTTTCAAGATGCTTGGATTAGAAAGGGAAGTGGGAATGTAAAGGAATATTTAGTTGGCAAACTAATTATTGAATGTATAAAAAATTACAAATGTGTGTCTTATTAACGAGTGTCGTCAAGAACCTCCAATGAAAATCCGCGCATTATTTTTCAATTCCTACTACTATAATTTCAGTCTCCCTCCCTCATCTCTCTCTGTCTGTCTGTCTCTCTCTCTATATATATTTATATATCTTGTTCAAATTTTTAATCGTTAATAAAATACTATATTCATCCATTAAAATTCAAATACATTTTTTCAAATTTGTAGTGGATGACACTTGATGTTAATGCATTTTTTTCAAATAATAATTCCTTAACTAAACTAAAAAAATGAATAAATAGTAACAAACAAAAATAATAGTACAACATCATATAAAGAAAACAAAATCGTTCGTTGTGTCCCTGTAGCGCAATGGATAGCACATTGGCTTTTTTATCCAAATGTCATGGGTTCAATTCCCATCTGGGATGGCCTAGTTTCTGAGAATATTTATTTTTAACCACACAATTTTATTAGTATAACTTAATTTAACAAACAAACAAAAAATAGTCCAACACCTTATACAAAAAGGAAAATGTAAAATTGGTAGGAAATCGCTTTATATTTTGTCAATTAATATTGTGATTCTATCATATATTTATACATATTTATATTTGTTTGATCACTACACCCGGGATAGCTCAATAACACACCTCACACATGGACTGTAAAACACTCTCTGTTTTTATTCACCTAAACACATAGTAACTGGAGATACACAGACAGCGCCGTCTGGCGCATGGTTTTTGCGACAAGCATGAACATTCTCCCCCGCGTTGACATGTAATACATTCAACAATAACACAAATTACAATAAAACATTAAACGATAAAATACTATAGGATTATGTAAAACAAATTAGGGTACATACAAAAATTCTAATACACAATATTCAGAGACAAAATTCAAACTGGCATAGGTAAAAGACAAACTCTTGAAATGGCTCTTTTATATTCTCCAAATTGTGTTTTTACTTTTACAACCTTTATTAGTGCATCACTGCCACTATAAATCTCAGTGATTCTCCCTAAAGGACATTTAAAGGTTGGCATATTGTCTTCAATGAGAACTACCAAATCACCCACCTTAACATTTTGTTTTTTAAATTGCCATTTATTGCGCTGTTGTAATTCACTAAGACAACATCTGTGCCACTTATTCCAAATTAGTTGCACTAGTCTGGTTATCCGTTGCCCTTTTTTAAGGGCATTCTCTTTTAATTCAATTGAATTGGGCTCGACTACTGAAGTCATAGACCTCCCTATCAAAAAGTGGGCTGGAGTTAAAGCGTTCAAGTCATCCGAATTGCTCGATAAAGGGCACACACAGTGGCCTGGAATTTAAAATTCCCTCTATTTGGATACAAACAGTTAAAAATTCCTCATAGGTTAAATTTGAGCCACTGACAACTCTCTTAAGATGGTACTTTATTGACTTTACCGAAGCTTCCCAAAGACCACCAAAGGATGGCGCTCTAGGTGGTATAAACTTCCATTCTATACCCTCAGCAGATAAGAAACCTGCTAAATTATCATCTGAATCCTCAATAAGTTTTAGAAATCTCTTGAGCTCTTTATTGGCACCTACAAATGTTTTCCCATGATCGGAATACAATTTAGCACATTTACCTCTGCGACTAAAAAATTTTTTTAATGTAGCAATAAAAGCATCAGATGTAAGATCTGACACAATTTCTACGTGAATCGCTTTAGACACAAAACATACAAATACACAAATATAAATTTTATGCAAAATTCCTTTTCTTTGATTTTTGTACCTGATCATGAATGGGCCACAAAAATCCACACCAGAACAGTTGAACGGGTAATCTGGGACTACTCTATCACGGGGTAGATTACCCATTAGCTGAGAGGTAACAAGGGGTCGGCTTTTAAAACAGACAAGGCACTCATGCACTACTTTTCTGCATAATGAACGACCATTTAATGGCCAGAACTTTTCCCTTACATAGTGTAGAAGAGAAGAAGCACCAGTATGCAGATTCTTTCTATGGAAATGGACAATTATTTGAACAGTTAAATTATGATTTCCTGGTAAAATTGCAGGATGTTTATTAACATAAGGTAAATCTGAATTACTCAGCCGGCCTCCAACTGTCAATAATCCATCACTGTCTATAAAGGGGTTTAAATTTCTAAGTTTACTGTTAGGTGAGACAACTCCTTTACTTTGTAAGCTCTTAATTTCAGCCAAAAAAAATCTGTTCTTGGACCATTCTGATCAGTTTAGTTTCTGCTTGGTCTATATCTGTAGCAGAAAGGTGACCACTCAATGTTGGTTTACGTTTGTTTACATTATTACAAAATCTTAACACATAACTAAATATACGAACAATTTTCATATAACTATTACTTTTACGTAACAGAGTAGATAAAATAGAAGATACACAATTAGTTGAAACACAAACACTAGATGTAATTATATAAGATCTCGAACCAGTTTTCAGTTCCTTAGAATACTCGCATTCCTTAACTGGTGACAAACTTGTTTTTTCACTTGACAACTTACCTTTTTCAAGGAATTGTGGACCATGCCACCATAACCTTAAATTTGGAAGGTCACAAGGGCGTAATCCCCGAGACACAAGATCTGCTGGGTTGAGAACAGATGGCACATGGTTCCACTGGAATCCTTCAGTCAATTCTTGCACCTTGGCGACACGATTGGCCACGAAGGTTTTTAAACGATTGGCAGGTGTATTTAACCATGCCAATGCAATAGTTGAATCCGTATGTAGCACAATATCACTTATGTTTAACCTCAAGGTGGAGCGTATTTTCTTGACGAGTTGAGCTAATAAAACACAGGCACAAAGCTCGAGTCAAGGTATGGAAATAACTCGAATTGGTGCAACACGAGATTTGCTGGCAAGAATGCTCACTTTGGCAGCACTGTTGTGAAGAAAACACTGTAGGTAAACGACCGCTCCGTAGGCCGCTTCAGATGCATCCGCAAATCCTTGGAGAACGATTCTAACATTATATTGTCAGCCATAATAAATCTGTTAATTTTCACTTCCTCGATACATTTTAATGTTGTCACAAATTCTCTCCACTCGTTGGCAATTGAATTAGATAACACATCATCCCAATCCAGTTTACATTGCCATAATTGCTGCAGAAACATTTTTGCTTTCGCAATCACTGGGGCTAAGAAACCCAAAGGGTCGTATAGCTTAGCAATTACACTTAAAACTTCACTCTCAAACACATCATCATTCACTTCACCTTTCAATAAAATGTCATTAAGGCTTATGCCTGTTGTGGTGGGGGATGAACCGTTAAAGACGATTCTTAGTTTACTAGTCAGTTTTTCAGGGCGTAATACACCATGGTGTGGTATGTAGTAATGCGTGGGTGGTTCACTTGACTCAACTACCCTTTCCAAATGACCTAACTCCTCATACTCCTTCAAAAATTCCGCATACAACGATAAATACCTAGAATCCCTAGACAACCGTTTCCACAATGAATTAAGTCGCCTAATAGCAATATCTTTGGAGTTTCCTAAGCAAGACGGATCTTTATTTAATGCCATCGATACTACATACCTACCCTCACAATTCCTCCTATGAGTGCGCACAAAATGATCCTCACACAAGGACACCTCTGTATCAACCTTAGGCTCTATGTGAACACCCTCAATTTCCCAGAATTTTTTCAGTGTTTTGTTTAAATCGTCATCAACAATTAATCCGCAATGAACGCGATTCTCTGTAACTTTTTTTATCTACACTTCCACTTACAACATAACCAAACACCGTATTTTGTAACACTAATTGCGAATTATCACAATAAAATTTTCCAGGCTTTAACAATTCGTAAAAGATTTCAGCACCAAGTAACATATCAATTCTATCTGGTATATTAAATTTATCATCCGCTAAGGGCACAAACTCTGAAACATTAACATCTACATCAATCACCTTGTTTGGAATGAGATCTGTAATCTTATTAACTACTAACAACATTAACTCACCCTCAAAAGTTTTGGCTTTATTTGCAACTGAAGTTTTTACGCAATTTTTAACAACCATAGAAGCACCATTAACGCACGAAACCACTGTATTTATTTTCTCCATTTTCAGCTGCAACTTCTCAGCACATGCCCTCGTACATAAACAAGACTGCGATCCTACATCTAACAAGCATCTGACCTCCACCCATTGAGAGTATTTATTTTTAACAAGCGAGCGTACAGTACTCAAAAACACATTCTTTTTTTTAGTCTGCCTTTCTCAAACCCAGTCGCCCCAAACTGTGATTGTGAATTTGCTTCAACTGATCCTTCAATCTGCCCTGGAACAAAAATAGGAGCATCCAAATTTAAATTACTAGTGGGAGTGGGATTCCTCGTTTTGCCACGTGAAAAATGAATCAAGCTATTATGAAGTCTAAGGCAAAAACAATTTTTCTCTGAATGGCATTCCTTCAATCTATGAGGTAAAAAACAACGAAAACAAAGATTATTCCGTTTAACTACCTCTACTCTATCCTCAACTGACAGTTTCTTAAACTGATAACACTTAGAAAGGGGATGAAAATTATTAACCTTACACAGAACACAATTTGGTTTGGTTTCGGCCACGAAAACATTCGACGAGTTTCTCTCTTGACGCCAAGTGCTAACCGTCTGCAGTCTATTTCGCCCATCTGTTTTGACTCCACTCCCTGGATTTCTGCTCATTAAATCATTCGAAACCTTTCCTCTCGCAGATAAATAGACATCACATTCCCTCCCAAGCTGTTGAGGCTTGAAATATGTTTCTCCCTGTTTCGTTGCAATATGATTCATCGTATCTCTATCTAGCGTTTCGAAAATTTTATCTGAAATTATTAGATCACACAAAGAGCGGAATTCATTAACTTTACGCAACTGACAATAATAATCGAAAGTTGCACAAAAGCGGGAAGCAAACTGAGCATAGTTTTCGGATTGTAGTTTACGAGCCTTTTTAAAGTTACTCAGGCATTCTTGAGGCGTGGGTTCAAACTCTCTTAATATTAATTCTTTAATTTTAACATAATTGCTTAAATCCTCTTGACTCACATATGTTAGCAAATTATTGACTCTTTCTCCTAAAATATTTAATAGAATTTCGGCTTTTAGCTCATCAGGCACGGATTTGATTTGAAATGCTTTTTCTAAAGAATGAAAAAATAAATTAAAGGACTCTGACCTAACCGGTACTTGAATTGTCAAAGTTTTAATGCTCTTTACCAAACTCTCCAATTTATCAGTTATGGAGCTTGGTTCTCCGCTTTCAAGAGATTGAGAATTTTTTTCGGATTCCTTCCTAACCTTCGCCAATTCTAATTGTTTTTCAATCTGAGATAATTTAATTTTTTCTAATTGAATTTCAGCCTCGCGCTCATTTTTCTCAGCCTCTTGTTTACTTTTCTCTAAAGCA